CTTGGTTTTCTTTAAAGCCTCCTCAACTTCTTTTTTGCTAATGCGACGGTAAAAATGAAACGTTTTATTATTATTTACGATATTAAAATCACTAAGTTCGATCGTATTTTCAGAAACTTCATTAAAAAGTTTATCAAAGTAACTCACCCACCTATGTTATTTTTTTAAGAGCATTTATTTCTTCCATCACAGCTAATTTCCAACTCGGTTCGCCTAATGCTTCCTAAACAGTTCTTGGAACAAGTATATTAGAAATCCTAGACACAAATGTTCTATGATTTTTTTGATAGTTTTTCATATGACAAGTATTGTGTAATAGGGTGTTTTGTGCTGGTTCGGATTCCTTTTCTGAAAGCGATTGGAAGATCAAGATCAGGATCAAAAGGAGTGAAAGTAGAGGGAAGGTTATTTTGAGTTGTAGGGTCATTATTCGACAAAGGTGATTGAACATCTGCTGAGGGAATAACTAGGGCTATAGTAACTTGATTGAATTTCTTTCTAGTATTTATAAACCTGCAACTCATGTTAAAGATTATGATCCGTTGGAAATACTTCTCCCTGTCTCTGATAAAGTATCATCTGACAAAATAGAATTAGTAGTGTTGACCCTACTTTCCATATCATAGTTAGTTAAAAGGAATGGGTAAATTTTCCCAAAAATTATTTTCTTCAACTAAGTTCTCCCCCTGAAGAAAATTATTTTGAAAAAACAGGTGATCCTCGATAAACTTGGCATCCATGCTCTAAAAAATTTTCTTTTTTTCTGGATTAAAGCATTTGCACCCACGTTTATTGGAAGCATACCCAATAAAAACACATTTTTCTGCTTTGGAATCAAGTTTTGAGCGAAACACATTTGGGATATGCATAGCAAACACATCCAAAGACTTTTAAAGGGAGATCAGTTGTTACCTTAGATGTGAAAAAATAATTTTTCAAAATCTGTAAAAGTGGTTTAAATTTCAGAACTTAGAGATGACATTCTATTTATTAAACAACAGGACGTGAGGAGTGCATTACCCCAAAGATATTTAGGAACATTCATAGAAAAAATAAGTGTCCTGATAACTTTGAGTAAATGCCTATTTTTTCTTTCAGCAATGTCATTTTGTTGCGGTGTGTCACGACAAGTAGATCGATGTAGAATACATTTTTCTAAAATAAATGTTCTCAAATATTTGTTGAAATATTCAGTCTCATTATCCGTTCTTAGATTGTTAATTTTTGTTTGGAATTGATTTTCAATCATGTGAAATTTTTTTTTAAATTGTTGTTTAACTTCAGATTTCTTTTCCAATAAATTGGTCTAACAAACTCGTGTGTGATCATCAATAAATGTTATAAATCATTTTTTTTTCAGAAAGTGTGTTAATTTTGAATGAGCCCCAAACATCACTATGCACTAAATAAAATGGTTTTGAAACAGAATATGATTTTCTTAGAAACGAAATACGAACTCCTTTAGATAAATTGCACACTTCACAATGAAGTTTTGAACAATCAATACTTTTAAATA